GGCAAGTTCGATTCCCCTGTATTTTGTTCTGTTTCATATTCCATTATGGACTTAAACTAACCTATTTTTAAATTAATGGGACCATCTAGACGTTGTAAGTAAACCCACGTACATCCTATCGGATTAATGAGATGTGCTGCAAAATTAACGGCTTCGTATAGTATTTTCGCCTTCAATTTCAGTGTAGCATATACATTTTAAATCCGTTGATATAATTCTGGAATTACATATGCGCCATGCAACGCTTCCTCTGAGTTCTTTGAAACTTACAAATTTCCTTACACTTACTCTCTTTTTTAGGTTAAAATTGACAAGGCTTAACAGAGCTTATGCTGTCGGTCTAGCACAGCAGCACAAAACACTTAGACGAAAACCAAAGAATACAATGAAAACGACGCTTCTCTGCGTTTTCCTCGCCAATGTTTGAAGTTGCAGAGCGCTAAGGCGCCAACTTGCAATACAGATTTATGGTCTAATCTTCGCGACTCGGCAACTCGTCACTACGAGCTGATATCGCTGCATCTCAGCTTCCACAAAACGCAGGGAACCCCTCGTTTCTGAAACTGACTTGTCATTTTGTTCTCTTTACATCATAAAACGAAAAAAAACTGATTTCGTGTTTTGTTGTTCCATGTTCTCCTTCATCTTTGTCCTCTTCATCATTTTTTATCTTTCTTGCCTTGTGGACCTTTTCCCTGTTATTGTTTAACCTTATTCCTCTTCTCTGACTTCATCGCTTCCGATTCCGTATTAATTCATTTTGTTTTGTTTTTATTCTCGCCTTCTTCTATAGCTAACAAGAAATATCGTACTTTTGTTCAGAACTAATATCTAATGTCAAGGAATATAATGATGATAATGTTAAAATAAATTTTCATAATACGTAGGTAAGTAAGATATGGAACTGATAACGTTGTAGAAAAAATACTTTTAAATATATGATGTTGAACACTCGTCAAAACTCAATTTCTGAAATACAGATTTCGTTCTTATCAATCACTTCATATGTGAAACTATTGACAAGTGGGTTAATATTGGCCATCATTCCACTCGACATATGATTCACTTTCTCGTTTATTATTGCAAAATATTAAGTGTGGCTTACAGATGTACACTTGCATCTAAGTTTTCTTCAACGCTAATTTGAACTTTCCAGACCGACAAGAGGAGTTCAGAAGGGATCACAAGAGGTCCGCAGATCGAAAGAGATTCTATTCTATCAGACGAGGAATCCACCGGGGGGAAAGAAAATGTCGGAGAAACCGCTGGACCGAGTGCAGGGAGAGGACGCGAGGTTCCGTCAGGGGTGGACAAACTCCACAACGAGGACGTCGACCTTACCCCATCAGCGGTGCAGGCGGAGGGCGCAGACGCACGCTCGGGCTCCTGGGGCGGGTGCAGCCATCCGGATGCGGCGTGCCGCAGGGGCCGAAATAACGCCTCCGCCTCAGGCGCAGTGGGTGGCTCAGCGATCGGAGAATCGGCTGCCTCGGCAGTTGGTCCCGACCAAACACACGGCGCCCGACCGGATTTCCAGGGCTGCAATGTCCCAGACGCCGCATGCCAAGAGAAACAAACCGCACCTGATACTGGGCCGGGATTCACGAAAATCGTCATGGAAGGTGACAAATACGTCTCCAAGCAGTTTATCCCAAGCAGGCCACCAGAGCTAACAGACACATCACAACGCGCTGGGACATCTACTGCTACCCCTGCGGACGCCACTCGGAGCGAGTCACAGGAATCAACTTGCGACACAAAGGATGGGGTCACGGTTTGTCCCGGCTCTGGGCAACCCACGCGGCCGCAAGGCTGGGTGTGTCCGCCGGGGTCACAATGCAGGGTCAAAGAAACAGAGATTCGAACCGTGGAACCGAAGACCGACCGGAAGGAAGGCAAGCACAGAGAAATAATTACAGACGAACATCCGTTAAAGGAGCAGTTGATCGTGATAGACGTGGGAACCGATGTGGTGCCAAGCGTTCAGCAGCGCATCGCGGAGGAGGCTACAGAGGCAATTCCGATTCACTTCACAGACGAACCGCACGTGGTACCGCTGGACGATGAATTTGCCACCGCGGGCAACGCCATCCCGATCAATCTCGCCGACGTGCCTCCCGAGGAGGAAGCGATTGACGACCTTTTCAGCAACAGCCCTACGGAGGGGGGCGACGACCGACTACGCGGCGGAGCGCAACCCCTAGAAGACCACCCCTGCCTCTCAAATGTGACGTGCCGAGTCTTCACTGAGGGGCAGTGCCCCATGCATGCGGCAATGCAGGAGTTTTTCAAAGCGGAGGGTGGCGTAGATGCTGGAATGGAAAGCTCCGCTGACAAACTCTTTTTCCGTGAGGGGGATGAAAAGCGAGCACTTGCTTGTGATGCTAGTGGTTCCTTCCCACGAGAACGGCTCTGCAGACTTAAAGAACTAGATTTATCCTTTCAAACAGAAGAGGGAGAAGAGGACAAACTTTCTATTGATACCACAAGGACATGCTCTCCTGGTGGATTTTGTAGACCGAACGAACAAGATATTTCCGTGGATATCCGAGCGAATGATATGAACGTTAGGGAAGTCTGTGCAGGTGATACATTATCAAACAGTGCAACACACTATGTACCTGATGTTTCAAGTCTCCCATCCGATGGTGAATTCCATCGAGCATCACCGTGCAAATTGAACGATTACGATGCATGCAGTTTTACAGAGTTATCTGAAGATAAAGATCACTCAAGTGATGGTATAGAAACTTTCATCGCAGATGCTGAGCACAGTACACTTGTCTCTGATAACACTTGTACTTCTCAATCACAAAATTTTAACGACCATAAAGAACTAGAGCTTTCGCAGATTTGTCCACCAGACAACATCGTAGACTGCATTGCGCCCCGAGATAAATTATCCGAATCCCGTACGTACAGTCCACTGAAAGGTAATATTCCTACACCTAATATGAAGTCTTCAAATGGGTCTCTGTGTGAAGGGGAAAGTTGTTGTGCAATGTTTATTACGGTTAATTCTAAAGAGGTATCTGACGAGGAAATTATGTTACACCAAAAAGGCACCGCACACACAACTGAGGATAACTTCCAACCCAGCCCTCCAAAAGAACCTTCAGTTCTGGAAGAACATGTTTCGTTTGATGACCTATCCCTCAACAAAGGGGATACTCAAGCCGCTATAGGAATTAAATATGCTGTTGACACCACATGCAACGCGTATAACGCTCCGGATATGCCGGTCCATCCAGGGGACTGTAAAAGTCCACTAAACTCCATTTACAAAAATGAAGAGGAAACATCAGTTGTAGAAGATCTTTCAGTCATTTCGAAGTTTGAAATGAATGAGCGAAGTGTTATAAATCCCACAGAACAGAAAATTCTAAAAGAAAAAGTTTCACTTGCATGTAAGAAGAACTGGATGTACCCACCTGAAAATATGACCCAAATGGATGATGTAGAGGCATTCAAAGACTTTTGTCCAAACGTTGGGGACACGTATTTTTCATTTCCTGATGACCCGGGCTTCGTTGCAACATCTTATTCGCCAGCTCCCCATTGCCCAGAAAAATGGGAGGACGTAGTTGAGACAACCAACTCGGAAGGTGTTCCAACATCAGACCAGCCAGATGTTGATGAAGAAAGCGTTGAAATGTTCTTTGACGTGGTCGAAACATCAGATGGCTACCCTCCCCCCTTCCCTTAAACAAAGAAAAGTGAGATAGGAACTGGAGTAAAGGCGACACTGACGAAACTGACGCGAGACTGACGAAAATTTCGGGGCTTCAGTGTCAGAGGGCATTGATAAGACAGACATCGCCCATAGTGCGCCAGACATCGCCCATAGTGCGCCAGACATCATAAAGGAAGTGCTTTATAATATGGTACTGACATATCTGACATATATGGTACTGACAATCACATACAAGCGCAGCAAAATTCGTGTCTCAAATAATGAGACGCACCAAGAAGATAAAGCTATCATTTAAAAAAATGATTTCATAGAAAATTTTTCAAATCATCCCCCTAGCAAGACTACTGGCACAGAATCTATAATTTTTTATATTTACGGAAACCGTTAATAAATTTTTGTTTATAATCTTGTTATAATTTATTTTACATTTATAATTACAATAACAATATGGTACGAAGATTTTGCAATGTGCTAATTAACGTAACATATTAACATAATATACTCCATCTACCGTGTCAACAAATGCACTCTAATAAAAAGCCATTTTATACGATACATCCTTACTTATACGATAATCACCTGAAACACCAAATCTAAGATTAAAATTGTGTACCCTTATAGTAAGAGGTTTAAAATGACCATCTAAATGACTAAGCCGACACCTAGTAAGAGCCGGCAGAGATAGACCGACAGTGGTTGCGATGTGCCGAAAGAAGCATTTGTCAGAAAAAGTGCGAGTTCAGCAGTAAACAACCATAAAGGACATACCACTCACATTGTTGTTATCGCACGTAGGAACACAAAATCCAAGTTAGTAAATTAGTTTCCGTTTCTGATGAGACATGGCTACACTATGCTTCTTTATAATTTTTTTTTCTTTTTTGAGCGCGTTGTAGCATTTTGCTTCTCACTTCTCGCGGATTCGTGATTTGTTTATTGCCCAGCCCTTCAATTACCGGCCTTTAAAGAACCAATCTGTCAAATGCCATCTTCCTGCGGAATGTAGATTTTTTTAAACAGTTAATAGCTTTGTAATTCGATTATAGAAAATAGATTCTAATGTGTTTATGTGTTGACTGTAGTAACTCTAATTTTAGAGTTCAAAATGTTTTTTGAGGTTTTTCAAATAACAAAGTTTCTACATCCAATATTCACGCAACCATCGCCAATCCTTATTTCAGTTCAGTTCTAAGAACCTATAAATAACATCCCAGCATACTTGTCCACATTTATTGTCAAATTGTGCAATTATAAAGGGCACAAATCGCTGCTAGCAAAAACGGCGGCCGTCTTGCGTCCTCTGATGTCAGCACCAATGCATCTGCTTGGCCATCAAACAGACAACCTGGATGAGGCCGAAAAGACGCCACACTGTAACAATAACATTATTTTAGATAATTATTCATTTTTGTAAGAAGTCATATGTATGTGTCTCAGAATAAACGTTTCTAACTTCGAAGACATGTACGGGAGATGAAGATCACTTTTTGCAGGTGAAGTATATTATTATTATTATTATTATTATGAAATAATGGAGTGAGGAAAAACGCCTCCGGGAATAAAGTCGCAGACTAGCTTTACCGGCAATTAATCAAGATTTGAAAAACTGAAAAACATGGAAAGCTAGCATGCTCTGCTCTGCAATGAAGAGGAGGTAATATTTCATGGGGTCATGTGACGTTTTAACACTTTTTTTTCAAATCAAATCGGGAGCGTGATGAGACGATTCGTATTAATTTGTCTATCGCTAACAAATTTGCTGGGAACGTTGGTACTCCGTGTCGTTTTATCATTCCGCCAAATGGAGAATAGAAGCTTGAAAATGCAGTATTTTAATGTTACTGGAATCTAAGAATGCTTTTGATGTGCATTTTTGAGAAGTTACTTTTTAAAAATATCATTCACATGGATAATTTCATTGAGTTGTTCTAGTATGAGTTCAATTGACAGAGTGACATAACTGTTCAGCGCAGTGTCTTTGACATTTAGTAATTTTGAGCTGTCCTTTTGCCTTAGACGAGTATTGTTCCACTTTCAATGTCTAACAAATAATCCATGCTGATATTTTAAAATTTTATCGCTATGATTTTTATTAATTCTTTCAATATTTTGTCGTAAAGATAATATCACAACAAATAAAGTAACTCCTTAACCTCTAACTTGACGTTGTGATTTGACACTTTGAGTAAAATAGTGGGTGATCCAGCTCATATAGTAGCGAAAAAATACATTTAGTGAAGCAAGCTGTTTTCGCCAAGTCTCAACTGTTGTAGAATCTACTGGTGTAGCCAAATGGATCGGTTTCTGACCAAAATTAGGTGCCTCAGAATAAATGTTAGAAACTTTTAAAATACTTCAGTGGTATAACGCTTAGCGAATCGGACTGTGGTACCCAGATTTGCGGGTTCAAATCGATCGAAGGTCGGTTTTTAAGGGCGAAAAACTCCTTCTTACGTCTTCTTTGCAAGAGAAGAAAAGCCGTTGGTCCCATGTTGTAGATTTACTGCATGTAAAAGATTAAGCCTGTCTCTGATCTATATTCAAATAGACTGTTTCGTCGCTTGAGTGATACCGCCGCCGTGATTGGCATGTTCAGATGAAGAGCAGGCCTGATGGCTCGAGTGTTGCCACGTAAAATAAGGTATGAACAACAGCATGACGGCTTATTTCACATAGACGGGTATATGTTTTAGGGCATTCAGGAGTCAAAATTATCACCTTTTGCCAATAACTATGTAGTGTGAAATCTCATAAAATAATATCATCATATGCAGAATGCCTATCTGATGAATGCGATAGAATGAAATGATGTTTATCCTACCAATTACTTCCTAGAATCTAATCCAAGAGATCGAATCGAATGTTTATGCTGCTAATTGCTCTTTCGGGGTAAACACTACCAGAACTCATGTTCGTACAAGGCTATCGTAAATTCAAAGGTCAGGTCGAAATTAATGAAGCAAAGCAGTTCGCAACTCCATGTGCTCTTTTCAGAGGACTCGCACGAGGAAGTCTTCACGTGCAACATCACTTATCGGCAGATAACCGTCAAGATGTTCATAATTTCTCATACAACAAACTTACACATGTGGCATTAGCCTCTGATTGGTAGGCAACGCATCGCGCTGTACTGTTTCACAGGTATATGTTTCAAGGTAGTCAACAAGATTGCACGTACAGTGCACAACAGTGCGAGACGAGTTGCCTACCAACCGGGAGCAAATGTCACAAAACGAACTTCATTATATAAGATTTCCCTCCATATATTCATTAGCAAAAAGTTATCATCTTCGACCCCTCTACAAGCAGGCGCGGATCCACGGGGAGAGAAATAAGGGACCCCCCCCCCCAACTAAATTTTTTCGGAAATCTTTTGGTTTTAACTTGTCGCAAAACTTTGAAGCAAAACTACTTTAGGATAATCGTTAAAACGAATAAAATCGTAACGCACCAGAAGCGGAGTGTAGCCTGCAACATTTTGCAAAATCTGTAATACGACACATTCCACCAAAACATTTTGAATTTCCCCTTCTACAATGTTTCGGTTCCTATTAGTTTTAACTTTTCGCAAAACTTTGAAGCAAAACTACTTTAGGATAATCATTAAAACGAATAAAATCGCAACGCAGCAGAAGCGGAGTGTAACCTGAGAAATTTTTACAAAAACTCAACACATTCGACCAAAACATTTTAAATTCCTAATCGCAAAATTTGGATCCACCTCTGCTACAAGTTGGTAACCTTAATTCCGAGACACGCTGTATGTATTCGAAACGCTCGCTGCGCGTGCGCGCGTGCGTACGCAGGTTGCAGGTGGGCCCCCAGTGCAGGCGCAGCTCGATGGGCTTGCCGGAGAAGGCCTGCTGGCCCGCAGAGTGCGCCAGCGACAGCCCGCCCACCAGCAACGTACCGCTTTCCACAGCCAGCCACGGCGCCAGCAGCAGCGGCTCCCCCTAAAACGCACATTCGCCAGCCGAACTATTGGATGCGCATTGCTGACGACAATGGTACACTGATCGCATTTGTATGTTTTTCTTTTTGTGTGTATATGTTTTGGTTTTTTGTTGTTTTTTGTTGTATTTTGTTCTATTTTGTTGTTTTTTGCTGTTTTTTGTTGTTGTTTGTTTTTTGTTTTTTGTTTTTTTGCACGTTCGAAGTGGGTTAAATGGCTCTTTATTACAGCCCAGTACTAATGTAGCTATACATTGTCACCATAAACAATCGATAATGTATTGGTGTACTCGACGATATGATTCACACACGAGCAATATTTTATTTAAAAAGGGAGAGGCATACGGTAAAACATATCAATACATTTATGAACTGAATAATTCACTTACATATCTTATATTTATATATTTTTCTCCTCGTCATTTTCTTCTTCATCTTCTCCTCTTTTATTTCTTTTTCGTCCTCTTTATTCTCTTCTCTTTCTGCTCTGTTTTATCTTCTTCTCTTCCTTGTTCTCTTTTTTGTCGTCATTCTTCTCTTTGTTCATTGATTTATTAGTGATTCCGGGCACATCAACTGCTAAGGTCATTAGTCCCATAAGTGAAGTGCATATTCTACTTTGAGATGTGGCGGTGACATTCTCCCGCTAGATGGCGAGGTCCGGCGCCAACCTCCCCGACGCGGCTAGCAGGGTTTTCCTCAACCAGGTATCTCCCATCCGCGGGACAAGCTCTTAAGTTCCCGACCAGCCTCCCAGCATTATATGTGATGGGGGGGGTGCGTAAGTAAGGGGAGAGGAGAAGTCAAGGAAGAAGAAGGAAAGATCGCGTGTGGTCCGCGACCCGTTTATTAGGATTCTTCTGCGGCATTCGCTTGGTGTTGATCGGAGAAACTACAAAAAAAACTACCCATCAGATCAGCCGGCCGCTAGAATACTACCCACTACCCACACTGAATTCGACCAAGCTATCTAGCTAGTGTTGAAAATCCTGCCACCGTCGAGACCCGAACCTAGGTCATGGGCATTGCAATGGCATCTGTTGATTCCCTGGAACACCTCTCCAGGTCTCTTTGTACTTCTGTATTTATTATTAGTTATTATTATATTATGTATTTTATTATTATTATTATTTATATTTATTCCTTTTCTTCTTTCTCCTATTTTATTTCTTCTTCTAATTAAACAACTTAACCTCCAATAGTTCAAAGTGCCAGCAGGATGAAATTGTCTATTTCTATCCACTGGTAAAATGACTTATTTTTCTTCTTCCTCTTCCTCTTCTTCTTCTTCTTCTTCTTCTTCTTCTTCTTATTATTATTATTATTATTATTAACTTTTACTATTCATTCGTTGTTTAGTTTTACTAGTTTTCATACTGTTAAAATAATTGTTCTTTTTTACTGAATTGAGATTGGTAATTTCATTTACGTACGGTCTCCTACTTTCTCGAAATAATATTTTTTTAAAATTAATGAAGCACTCACGGTAATAGCGGCGAACGTGAGCAGGGCCCCGTGCTCAATGCGCAGGACGAGGTTCACCATCTGCAGGTCTCTGCTCAGGCGCGCGCCCGCGACTGCAGCGGAACAACAGACTTCCTTGCGACTTCCGCAAAACAACAACTCTTTCTAACATCACGCAAAACACGAATACTGCCACGTCTAGGAAAGAAAATATCAATTTTCTAACGAAAAATCAGGGTTTTTGTTCAAGTACGATTTTTTAAAATAATATTTCAATCCACAACATACTTAAAAGGGAGAATAATTCACTATATTTGTCAAACATAGGCATTTGTAATATATCTTAGAGCTGATAATTATCAATTATTGGAGAGACATTTAAAAATTAATAATTATTTTTAATTATAAATCATGATGGTAAATGAAACATTTTGATGAGCGGTAGATGAACATTTTCAACTCTCAACTATTTCATATCGATTTTTATAATAATATTTTATATTAATTACTATTTACGTAAAACCAGAAATATTTTTTATTTATAATATAAATAAAGTTCTAAATTTTTGGTTATTTATTTACTTTTAAAAAAGTTATAGTTGTATGCCAATTAACGATATTACATTAGCTTTAATTTAAAATATTAGGCAGCGCACTCCGACGCGTTAGTTCGTAAACAAGTCATTCAAAGAGATTGCAAATTTGTACTTATTGTTTTTCTTAATATGAGTTTAATACTTCTGCTGTTTAATACTTACTACTTAGTTCTGCAAATATTTAATTAATTAATATCCTGTGTACTTTTGCAGTGAATAATGTTTCGCATTTTATTAATGAAAATAAAGACAGATTGTAAAAATCGCATATCTTGGGAAATGTTTTATGAAAAATTGTTACAATATTGTAGTTTTAAATCAAGTTTCAAATCATTATTTTAATAATTTGATTTAAATCACGAATTAGATAAATGATTTAAACCAATTGACTTAAATTATCCCCAACGTAGATCCATCCAAACAATTTTTTCAGAACTCAACACAAGATTTTGTCGATAAATTATTGTATCAATGTCAGATTATCTTAAGAAGACGTGAAAGCTCCTGTATTTTTATTACATTCGAAATGTATCCGTTCTTTCATTGTGGCCCAAAAGAAGATTAATGAGGATTTTCCCCGTTTTCCTATAAACACAAGTGTTAAATATTGTTGGCTGACTAGAACAATATTAACCAAGCAATTTACTTGTTTCCTTATAATAATACACGTTCATAACGTGTATTCCATCAAACTCGTGTTAACAAAGAAGAGTTTTGCCTTTTGCGTTAAACCGGACCTTACTGCCGATATCGTATTTTTGGTGAGGATGCAAATGGATATACTTGCGGCTTGCACAAGGCGCGTGCACACGCCATACAGGTCATTCACACACTCCTCCACCAGACTGCGTCTCTGCGCCAGCTCGCAAAGGTCGATCATGGCGGAGAACTGAAGAAAGGACAATGCAGGATCAGTTTCATTACCACGTTCCAAAAGAACTTCTCACGGATACGAATAACAGTAGACAAAGGGGTATGAAGTTCGTGGCGTTTTGCTTTGTTCGATATTTTTACGAAGTGTCTACAAATATGTCTATTTTGCCATACGTAGGAAAGTCGGATTTGGCAGATTCTAATAAATAAGTGTAAAATATTTTTGTGACACTTCAAAATCAATTTCTATAAATTAAATAAAAGATCGTTTTCTATTCATTAATTGAGTTTTCATACAAAAGTATTGTAAAGTTCGAGTTATGACTTTTATGCACTTGATCGCTTGATCACTTGATGACGTCTTATATTCCCTTGATCTAAATCATTTTGAATTTAATTCTACTCCTAATTAATAATTTTTACAGATTTTTTCTCATAACGGGCAAAGGGTTTTAATATATAGAGACGTAGGGGGTGAGAAATTCCAACTGCAAACGCTTAAGAAGGATAAAAGTCTTCTGAACACGATTGCATCATGTAGCCCTTTTAAAACACCCATTTGGATTCCAGTAAAATACAATTGTTTTTTAAAGAGTAAAAATCCTTCTACTTCGTTTTATTAGGAACAAGTGCTGTATTCTGATTAATACCAAATACAAGATGACCCCATGCACCCATATTTATGGGCAACATTTGCATCTAACGGTCTGTTTAATGATAACCTAATTAGGGATTATTTTGTATCATCGCCTAATAGTGACCATGTTGACCAAAACACTACAATATGTCTTTTTCATTAATATTTTTTATATTATTACGAACGCTATATAGTTAGGAAGATAGGAAGAGTCTTGACCAAAACATTATAATATGTCTTTTTCATTAATATTTTTTATATTATTTCGAACGCTATATAGTTAGGAAGATAGGAAGAATCTTGACAAAAACACTGTAATATGTATTTTTCTTTAATATTTTTTACATTATTACGAACGCTACATAGTTAGGAATATAATAACATAACGCATGTTGCATATGAATAACCACGACTCACCGAAGATATGGTAGCGATGACCAGCACAATGGGCCAATGGCCGATGTACCGGCAGCCGCATACGTGTGACAACTGGTTCTGAACCTCCTTCCACTGCACAAAAACATTTATTCACTACATCATGCTATTATTTAATCGCATAGTGTAGCAAACACCGAGTGAGAAGCATTGCTGTGAAAGCGTGAAAATAAAGTGAAGTACATTACACTTCTGAAGAACTGAAAAATAAAATTTACCATAACTCTTCTAGTTTGACTTACAATGAGTGCTTTAATAATGAATTGCAGGTGCATCCCAAAACTTGAAGAGGCTGTAACTATGAGCACATTCAATGGTTTTGGTGGCACCACTAGAACAGTAATAAATCTAGAAACATTAAAATTAGTAATACTCATATCTCTAGTACAAAACGTGCTTTTAATAGCCTGTTAGAATTAGCTCTTCCAATGAATAAATGTAAATATTAAAATAAAATTAATTCAAATTGGATCTAAACGTAACTAGCTACTTTATGAACCAAACCAAGGCAAGTCCCTCCACTCTTACGAATATTGTAACAAAGAAATTTCCAACATTTAATGCGTAGCAGGTTGGGTTATTCTAAACGATGGAAGAAGGAAAAAATATCTCGTTCACCCATGAAATTCGACGTCACACACGACGTCACATTTTACACAATGTTTAGTTTCCTTTATAGTTAGGTTCTTCCTACAATACCACATGATACATAAAATAGTGGAGATATTCCCTCTCACATATACACCCACACATTCACACACAAATTGGGGAAGGATACCTTTTATAGAGAATGGAAGCCCTCGTTGTGTTTTCGCCGAGTATTTCCTGTCTCATACAAGTACCTTTAACTCCATCATACTCCTTTCCACTGAGTTACCTGTCAGTCTGCCTTGAATCTAAGACATACACTTCCCAAATTGCAATTTTGCACATTTTTATATTGCGGACTCCTATTCATAAAATACTGTATAATTTCTGTTTGGAGAAGGAAGGGATTAAATCCATTCTTCCACCTGTTGCACTTTAACGGCACTTTAATAACACTCAAACATGCCTTTACAATTGACGCCACACATTGCCGAACGTAAACGAAAACAGAATGAATTAACAGCACCGGCATGAATAAATTAGGCAGTTGCTTTTCGTAAGGGTTGGGGAGATCAAACGCACTTATTTAAAATAAAATAATTATTCCACAATATAATTATTCAAGACTTCACTCATTAAATAATGTTACCTTCCACAAGAGTAATGTTTCAATAGAAAAAAATTGTTGACATTCATCAAAGAGTTGCAACTTATGAAAAACATGAATTGAGATTCTACTTACAAGCAAAAATCTATTCAATTTTGCAGCTTGGCACGATAATATGACCAGAGACTGTAGGGGTAGATGTAGCGATGGTGTCGTATTTTCGACACTAACCATACAGCTGGGACGAATACAACAATTCTCTCAGGAGAATTTTAGTTGCTGGTTGCTCTAGTCATGAATTTTCCATTGCTTCCTCGGTCTATACCTGACAAATGGAACAGTACCATAGTAAACGGTCCTCAGACCGCGCGCGACATTTCCATCCTCTTCCTTGCCCTATCCTCATCCATTACTTACTTACACACACACACACACTAACATGCACTACACATGCCAGGAGAGCAGTCGGGAGCTTTGAACTTGTTGCGAAGCTGTGCCCCGCTGGTGGAAAGACCTGCAGCCGACATGTCGGACGTTTCCGAACCTGACTTTCCAACGGAGCAGGAACACCGCCACCTCCCTGGATACAACATGCACTACTACCGGAAGAGGTAGCTCAGGGAATCAACTGATGTCACTGCAGTACCTCTGACCGGGAGGTTCTAGGTTCGAGTTCCGGCGGTGGCCAGATAGCCAGGTTGAAATCAATCGCTGACAGGAGGTGAGTTCTAGCGGCCGGCTGCTCTGATCGGTAGTTTTCCGTTGTTTCTCCGATCAACACCAGGAGAATGCCGGAGCAGTACCTTAACAAACGGGCCACGGATCGCGCGCGATCTCACCTTCCTCTTCCTTGTCCTATCCTCACTCTATACATACACACATCACACGTACATACAATGCACTACAACACATGTCGGGAGACCAGTCGGGAACATAGAGCTTGTCCCTGTTGGGATGGGGATCTTTTTTTTTTTTTTTTTCGTTATTTAATGTCGCAGCAACTACTAGGTCATGAGCGACCACTATTGCATGTAACGGCATGATAACTATGATGATGACACGATATGATGATAGGGGGTGAAAGGACGAACACAGTACAACCATGCAACTCATGCAACCATGAGGCGATACTCAAACCCGCGATCCTTCCCTCCGAGTTCGCTACGGCACTACTGCCTTAACGATCTCGGCCATCCGGACCGGCATCATTTCCCTCTGTGTTAACATGAAATGAGTTTCTGTGTTCAGCATTGTACTAAAGTAAACTATACTGTAAACTATACTAAACAGCATTGTCTAAAGTGGAAAGAAAGGAAATAAAACCCGCCCCCTACTAATGACCGAAGCAGTTGCGGAGCGCGCGCAAACCCCGATTAACGCGTCCGCCGGGAGATGGCTACGCACCGTGCGCGAGGGCGCCTCGTGGTAGTCGTCGAAGAGGAGGCGCATGGCGGGGCGGCGGGGGCGCGGCGCGAGGCCGGCCGCTGTCGCCTGGGCCGCCTGCGGCCGTTGCCGCGCGACCGCCCCCGACACAGCAGCCTCACTGCCCTCCAATCGCGTCCACTAAACGCAATGGACTCGGGGATTAATACAAACAAAAGTGTTGGAACAGTATTTAAAGGTTAAACACGGGGCCGCGGAATAAATGTTTCAAACTTCTACGGCATGGTGGGGGTTTAAGATTACATTTTGCCAAGGATCGTGTGGCGGGATACAACGAATAATGCAAAGAAGCTACACAGGCAACATTAGCTTCTAATTGTGAGGGACTCCACTCCAAGCATGTTTACGAACATAATTAAACTGGGGGGGAGAGGTAATATTACTGTACCTAATTAGAATATTTCACGTGATCATAAACAATTCAAAACTACCTGAAAATTGGGCATTCACATTTGTCGTACCAATTTTTAAAAATGGGGACAAAACTTTATTATTATGTATCTAATGGATCCAGCAATGCTATAGCAATGTATTACACTTCACAACGCGCTGTTGCAATGTACAAATTGCACTTCACATGCTACTGGCCACGTGATTGTTAATCGCGTTTTACGCAGCGTTCTGTAAAAATTTCAATAGACGAAAGAAAAAAAGCGGCGAGCGTAGAGGCAATCAGATTCGAGAGCAATACGAATCAAAATTCTGCGAGGAGCAATCAACACGTTTTAAGCCAGATTTAATTTTGGTCCCAAATTCAATCTTTTTTTAAAGATTCCGAGAAAAAAGTCAACAAAATGGAAGTAAATAAATAGTTAGTTATACTTAAAGTTTGTCTTTTAAAATTACGTCAAATAATAAAATGTACAATATATAATGTATAATATGAAATACGTAAAACATTAAGTATATAACAGACGTCACATACAATTCCTTTTACATCACCTAAAACTATAACCCATCAAAATTAATGAAACACGACTCATTTGTTCTCAATCTTAATAATTTTGCTTTTGTTTGTCGCATTTCTTTACATCATGAAATCCTTTATTTTTTTTCTAAAATAAGAATAAGACAGCTTCATTCTCTAAATAGCAAATAAAAACATTGCTTTAATCGTGATAGCTTACTTTATTTTCTTCAAATAACAAAGATAGTATCAACTGCTATTATTTGTATTATTATTTCAACTAAAACCATATTCATTTACATTAATTGTTTACAATTACTTGCTTTTGTTTTTAAGCTCGGTGATGAATAATGTATACATGTGTCTTTTTTAATTTACATATTTTTAAGAAATTTCGTGCTAGAAAATAATCAGTGATGTTTTATTGGATTTCCCGTATTGAGATTCCTCAAATATTTCATGAGTATCTAGATAAGTGTGCATGGCAGGCAAGTAAATTTTGTTTTCGTTTTTAATGTCTTATGAATTGTACATATTTCTATTTGTAATTGTGAAAACAACACATAACTATACTAACACTACAGTATGGAAAATTAAAATGAAAGAATTGTATCAATCACATTAATGTAAGATCATTGAGGTAAGTTTTATTGAGACCTGATTTTATTAGATGATTGAGAAGTGAGGAGTCGTTTATTTTGACATTAGGACTATTACACTAAATGTTTAGCTCTGGTTTCGATACAAAATAGTTTAAATTACACGGGGGCCAATATTTCTGTTTATTAGATTTCGTCAACAACGTTTATTGTAGAATCTTTTATTTTTAATTCGACTAACGTTCGTAAGTGAGTAGAGGGTAGGAATTCTGGGTCTCAAGAAATCTTGCACCTATAATATATTAATATATAATAAGGTAAATGTCATATAAAAAATACAGTATGAATTAGCATACTTCCCATCCAAAACTTTTTCTTTAAACATCTGCATTAAACTCCCGGAAATTTAATAATATTCAATCCACTAACCCAATTTAATTAGGTTTTAGGTCATCTGTGGGAGTATCCTTTCTCTCCTGTTTGTGGCTTTAGTTCTATGAATCCTAAGTTGCTGCTCTGTCCAGTCTATCAAACACTTGCCTCGCTGTGTAAGAAAAATATTTTTATTTTAATAAAAAATTATAATTAGGCAAGCACAGATCGCGTAACAACTTAAACTTAAATTTTTCAAAACAACTCTTCAATTCTCCTACTCTTCTGAAATATGTTATCGTTATGACGCACGAGTTGGTTTTACAGGATAAAAACTCATAATTACCCATTTGTTGTTCAGTTTTTTGGTCAGTTTCTCAGAGTTTAGCTGACCAAACGCATGTAAATATTTTCATTAAAAATCGTACGTCGTTAGCACGGTACGCCAAAGTAAGAGTCGACGATTGTATTAATTGATCTCTCGTACTTTCTCTCCCCCTGTATTTTCTCTCCCTCTCTTTATCTTTCCCTATCTCCCTCTCTCTCCTTCTCCCACCCTCTCTCTCTCCTCATTTTTATGGATTTTCTACATGACTGATTTGAATACTGTTTTAATATGTGAATCTGATAGTCGAGTGTTTAACCAGATTTGCGCAACACAGAACCTTGTCATTTTTAGGCCACGATTTTCTACTCATTTTAAGGAGAAATAATTTCACAGATTAAATTGCATTTTGTCCTTCAATTTTAGGGAATCCTCGAGCTATAAAGGATTACGTGTTTGTGAAGACTCCCAAGATGTGATATTTCAGTTCCTTTTAAAAATGCACATTTCGATATTTAGCAAACGTTTTTTTAATTTAATTTTTATATTATCAAACATTCATTACACGTACTATTTGTTGAAATAGGTTGTAAAGATTACATCTTCTGCATTGGCAAGTGTGCTTTTCTCAATGAGATTGAGTTGTTTCGCTGTTTAAAAATTTTCAACCCATCGTTCTTCAATACGTATGATTTTTACAGCAAAGATGGCTAACAATTTCATCAGAACTTATGGTCAGAAATAAAGTTGTTTTCCGGTTTTTGAACATATTTTTATTATTTTCAAAGAAACATAATAATTCCTCCTTCCACATTCGCTCTTGCATAACGATATTCAGAAACAACATCACAATATTTTACTTAAAACTCTCCGATATTGAGGTTTGCATTTGACTCCATTCCCTACAAGATAACTGAAATGAATGTCTTTCCCAGGAATTATAACTTCAAAAATTAATATGTTATTTAATAAAGACTTATTAACATTTTAACTAGAAATTTTCATTTACAATGCATGATTACTGAAAGATAAAATTCTCAATGTTTGTTGATGATGTTCCATACTGCGATGACTCCATAACTCGATGATCCTGATAATCGGCTAACAGAATTCTCATTGGCAGCACTATAATATGATTTTTATTAACTTGTTAACTAAGATTTTTTTATTTACAGCTCCGCGCATAGAAACAGCCTACATTGCCAACCGCATTGCGCCTCTGAAGTTGTCATTACTATGCCTGGTACGAAAAGAAATGTGCGCAGCGCAGTACGAGTACTTGTAGGGTCGTCAACAGTATTACTCGCGCAACTTTTCTTGAACGATGACCTTGCTTCCCCCTCTCTGGCACAATAAACAGATGAAGGCAAAAGCTCGCAGGGTAAACTGATGACAACATTCCAAACACATCTTCACTGGCGCGAAATAGAAACAATTTTTCTTTTGAAGACAAAAACTTCTATCGATTATTTTCTCCAAAAAACTAAAGAAATGACCGAAGCAGGTACGGATCTATCACAGGAGACTCCTGATAAAGTCAGAACGCAAATTATTGAGAATGTTACGAAGGCGTGAATGATTTTCCAGAGATTGGCATAACTTCATAAAATCTAGTGGCCGATTTCGTAACTAATACCCTACCCGCATTTCTTCAATCCATCGTTCAAGAAAAGTTGCGCGAGTAATAATAGCGGAAGTGGAACATTAAGTCTGGACCCAACTTTTCTATTCTTGCTGTAATACATTCTACGTGTTCATATGTTATGATTATAACGTCAAGTGGTTAACTCGTTAAGAAGAGGAGACCGGGGAAACATGTGTTTTACATGTTGGTGTGAAATAAAGTTGTATACTAGAGTGGATAGGTGAAAGGAATGTGTCATACTCCCCACATATTGCCCTTACTCCCAGGCGTGGATAATAAATAAAATAATCAGGTCCTGAGAACACCATTAGCAGGCAAATGTCGAAATAATCCGACCTTAAAATTTGATATACATACATACTTTCTGATTTTTTATAGATTTTTTTATTGCTTCCGTGCATGCTACTAAAACTATTTTTGTGAACCATCTCAGCATTCACAATGTTACGTTCTATTAACCACAATTGTACATTAAAATTCTGGTGCTATTCATTGTAAAACGTTAAATTTGTGTAAAAAGTTACAGACAAACTCTTCCATTGGCTCAGCCCTTCTCTGAGAATCCTTCATCTTCTTTATATCTTCCGTGAGGCCGTCACCATTTACACGGTAATGCCCTCAAAGTAAGTTGGCCACCTCCAGCAATAAAACCATGCACTCCACGTACGGGACTAATGACCTTATCAATGGATGCGCCCGGAATCACTAATCAATCGACCGACGTGTAGATCATCTCCGGATCTCGGCCATCCAACAGGGGAAGAAGACCGCTCCCTTCCGTAATAAAAACACGCACCTCACTTTCGGGATTAATGACCTTAGCAATAGATGCGCGCGGAATCACTAATCAATCGACCGACGTGTAGTTCAGCTCCAGATCGCAGCCATCCAACAGGCAAAGAATACCGCTTCTTTCCGTCATAAAACACGCACAACATTTACGGGATCAATGATCTTAGCAATAGGCGCACCCGGAATCATTAATCTATCAACCGACGTGTAGTTCAGCTCCGGATCTTATCTATTTAACAGGGGAAGAAGTCCGCTTCCTCCCGTGATAAAAACACGCACAACACTTATGGGACTAATGACCATAGCAGTCGACGCGCCCGGAAACACGGAATAAACTACTGGCTCAATACGGCGCGCGCGCGTTGCAGGCCACCGCGCTGCTGTGCTGCAACGCGCCCGAGGCGGAGCTGACGGCGACGCCCGCCTCCGAGAGCACGGCCTTCGTCAGCAAGTTCCGGTGCGACCCCCACGGGCGCTGCTCCTGGCAGCTGGTCCCCAGCAACACGGCCAAGAGTGGGTATTCTCTCAGTCGCGAGAGGCGACCACGCCTCTTAATCGCCGGAACGTTTGCGTTTTCACATTCTGGGTAAAGAGCGAATTGCAATTGTTTGTATTACTCGCTCAACTTTTCTTGAACGATGGACTGAAGAAATGCGGGCAGAGTGGGGGTATTAGTCACGAAATCGGCCACTAGATTTTATGAAACAATGCCAATCTCTGGAGTATCAGTCATGCCTTCGCAACTTTCCCAATAATTTGCGTTCTAACTTTCTCAGGAGATCGAGGTATCCCCTGTCATGGATATTCACCACTTTCGGTCATTTCTTTAGATATTTTTGGAGAAAGTCACGGACAGAAATTATCGTGTTCGACAGAAAATAGTTTCTATTTCGCGCCAGTGAAGACGTATTTGGAATGTTGTCATCAGCGCTCGCTGCGATCTTTTGCCTTCAACTGTTTATGGTGCCAGAGAGGGGGAAGCAAGGTCATCGTTCAAGAAAAGTTGCGCGAGTAATACGCGTATTAAGACGGCTCCACACATTCGGCATTCGCCGAATCCCGAGCAACCGCTCGCCGACCCTAAAATTGTGTGGACGGGTTGCTTGCCATTCGCCGAGCGCCAAACATTCGGTTTCCGCCCTTCCCAACTCGTGTCGGTCTTTAGGGCACATCAAAGGGACCGAACATTCGCCGAGCACATCGCTGCACGAGATTGGGCGAACTGTCGCTCGCAACTTGGCGAATGCCGAATGTGTGGAGCCGCCTTTAGAGACTAATTGAAAGATATGAATTCTAAAAACGAAACACCTCTGAATCGCGAAGGATTCTATTTTGTAACAGGCAGCAATCAATAAAGATGTCTATAATCACGTCATTACGTTTGGTGGGAAAGTGTTGAGTGGCAAAATCTTGTGTTTTAAAAAGTTAGTAAGTTTGAGGTTATATTATGCGGTTACCGAGGTTTGTGATTCTTGTCGCATTAGTTATTTACGATGTGATTTGCTTCCTTTCCGTTTGTTTAGGTTCTGGCTGCGCCATATTATTCACATATTTGACTTAATGATGTACCATTCTATCAGACATATAATGAGTCGCTACCATTTCATTTAGAAAATGGTTCGAAATAAATATAATTATTACCTTAGCGATACTTTATAATAAAATGAAATACTAAATTAAAGACTTGAACTCAAGTGTAAAACAAACTCCAACGAATAATGATCTCAGTGTACTGGAAGAAAATCAATACATACAACAATTTGGAACTATTAACTCCCAGCTTCCACACGTGACATTTGCCACCCTGAGACGATAGTGCCGCTCTCACCAGCCCTGAAAATGACGTGTTCTGATTATCTCTACGTAATATCGATTGCAGAAACCTCGATATTTACCCGTTTGCATGTTATGTGTTCAACAGAACTCATTACTCCTTTTTTCGCTACAACACCCTCAAGCGAATAGATTAGCTTTCCAGGATTTGACGTAAAACTGAATGTATAGTAATGCATACTTTTTTATTTTCAGTCATTGTTGTGAAGAGTGATTTGGTGGATCTGCTAACCTGTGTACTTTCCTCCATTTGGGTTTATTTTGCAAATGAGAGTGTAAGTGAAAATATAGCTTTTTTAAATAACATATTTTTAATCGGGCTGATGTGTTTCGGGAGTTTTGAAAAAATGCTTGCAGCATTGATATTTACCAAGTGAATGGACAAAATAGAGTGTCACACCCCTGAAAAAAACTATTAATGACATTTGAGTGACAATTTTGTACGGAAGAAAGAACAAAAATATGGAAGAAAGCAACTAACGTCTTTGGTCTTACCTTTTCTTAAGTTTTAAAGGGCGGAGTTGGTTTCGTTTCGCGCGGGTAGTAGTATGTTGCGCTAAACAAGGGAAAATACTTTAACTGTTCCAAATAGTACATCGCAAGACGGTTTGCAGACCTGAACATGTTTTGTGGTTATCTGTCTTGTAAGTAAAATTCACCATTAACTGGTGGGAATATCGTATTATTTAAGAATGTGTGCGTGTTAAAAATCTTATTTATGGCATGCGCATTTCAATTGCATTCCTCAACTTGTTTATATTCCCTTAAGTAAAAACTAATTAGAAAAGTGTTCCCTCGTATTAAATACTTTGTACGTGAGCGACATCGAACTCAGAACTTCGAGGCTTTTTTGTTGTTTATTGTGAATAAATGTACCATAAATATATAATATTTTCAAAGAATGAATAATCGAGATAATAAAGAATTACAATCGTTCGGAATCAAAATAATTTTTCTCGAGAGATAGCATTGATGATGTCAAGAGATCTCAGCAAAGTTACTGAATTTCTCTTAGACTCGATTTCAAAAGAAACGTATTTGTAGATAGATTAATAGATAATTCAAAGTTGAGTAGTGAATTATAACAATAATCAGATTTTAGTATTCACTTTTGGAATCACTTTGTGTTCTTTTTATTCAAAACCAATTGTATCCGACTAATACATCTCTACATCTTGCTACAAAATAATATGCCTGCTATGGATGTAATTTTCTCTTTCAGAACATGCCATATTGCTACCTTCCGTGGCTAGGATTTTCCCTGAAAGCGTTTCTTACAATTCAAGGGCCGACAATTTTGTCTCTCGGACGAAACATCATTTTGTCTAGAAGCGTTGCTGCAAGTTGTTTCTATTTGATCTGCATTTTCGTAACCGGTAAGTACGATTAATTACGAGAATATGATTTTTGAACGCACATCCAGAGTATTGTGATTCTTGTTTTTCATACTAACATCAGAAAAATGTTCATGCACTTTGTGAAATAACGCTGTTTTTTGAGCTAATATTCGTTTGAGAGAAGATGTTTTACAAAGTTGATGCAATCGGTTTATAAAGTTATCTTTATAACTAGCACTATCCGCCCGTTTATAAAGTTATCTTAATAACTAGCACTATCCGCCCGCTTCGCTGCAGCGAACAGTGATTTGAATAAAAATCTAACTAGATAATCGTTCACAAGTGATAGGTGTTAGGTTCACAAGTGTTGCTGGAACTATGAACATTTTACTACTAAGTAAAATGTTCATAGTTACAGACAACTCCGGCTGTTATGAACTCGGATATAGTCAACCCTCGGTTATAGTGAACCTAAGTCATTGGTCTCGTTTCACTTACATTAGAAATAAGCAAAAGAAGATTCGGTTATAGTGAACCTGAACCTCGGCTATAGAGAACGTAGGAAAAACAATGGACTACGGTTGTAGTGAACTTCTGGGGACTAACGCGTTTGGTTCACTATATCCGCGGACATTAAAATTAAACAGAATTTCTCCATAACGATTGATTTTTAATAATATAGGGATATAGCGAAATACATTAAGAGCTCGAACTGAAAATTTAAACATCTTTATTTGTCATTTAAAAAATTATTTTCGTTTGTTTGCTTTGTACTTTTTCATTAGTAATTTTTTTTAAGTAAGTTATTCATAAGGAAGTTTTTTCACGCCAGTTGTAGCCCATGCAGAACACGGCCTTGTTTCCGCAATGAAACTGAGTGTCATACGGTCATCAGTATGGTGCCGGTTCCCAGTCTTCTACCTTCACTCCAAGAGGCAATGCTTATATTATGGCCTTTGACCGACACATTTTCAAGCTGGCGTGTGTTGGAATTTGCAGCACTGAAACGATATATTATTTTCCAGGCGCTGCTGTTTTTCAAAAGTTCCGAATCTCACCATCCAGTGCTGGAAGATCAACACCTCCTCTGATACAAAAGAGCATGCACTGCACTTATGGGACTAATGACTATAGCTGACGCGCCCGGAAACACAAAATTATTACTCGCGCAACTTTTCTTGAACGATGAATTGAAGAAATGCGGGTAGAGTGGGGGTATTAGTTACGAAATCGGCCACTAGATTTTATGAAACAATGCCAATCTCTGGAGAATCAGTCATGCCTTTGCAACTTTCTCAATAATTTGCGTTCTAATTTTCTCAGGAGTTCGAGGGATTTCCTGTTATGAATCTTCACCTGCTTTGGTCATTTATGTAATTTTTTTGAAGAAAATGACGGTCAGAAGTTCTTGTCTTCAGCGGAAAATAGTTTCTATTTCGCGCCAGTGAAGATGTGTTTGGAATGTCATCAGTGCACGCTGCGAGCTTTCACCTTCATCTTTTAGTTGAGTCAGAGAGGGGGAAGCAAGGTCATCGTTCAAGAAAAGTTGCGCGAGTATTATCAATGAACCCATTCCGATCTCCGGTTCATGTTGTCGTTCTCCACGTTCCCGCGGAAGTCACAACAATCTTTTGTTTGACCTGACGATCAACTATTCAAGACTAGACTTAGTTTAGTTAGAGCCGATCCGGTGGCCGAGATCGCTAAGGCAGTAGTGCCGTAGCGATCTCGTACCGAAAGATCGCGGGTTCGAGTCCCGCCTCGGGCATGGTTGTATTGTGTTCGTCCTTTCACCCCCCTATCATCATCATCATAATCATCATCACATCAGGGAAGGCAACGGGAAACCACCCTGAATAGTTTATCCCAAAAAACCCGTTATGGGTCACCTAACTTCCGAATATGGAAGATAGGATCAAAGAAGATGTCAAAAAAAGCAGTAAAAACTGTATGTGACGTATGGGGGCGAAGATTATCTGCGCACGTTTTCTTGAGTTCCGTCATTTTAACTATAATTTTAACTATACATAGTTGAAAGATTAGTAAAAGTTTAACACAAATAAATAAGAGTAAATTTTAAAAATAAATTTTAAAAATCGTATGATTAGCAATATTTCAAAGAAATAGACATCCGAGTTATAGAAAACTTATTTGCATCGGTAAACGAATTGCAAGTATAATTTTTCTGCATTGCTAACAAAATAGTAACTCGCCCTTACTTCTACTCTTACCATTACTGGCAAAAGGAGAGTTCAACAAAACGTGCGCATAGTGAAGCTACATTTAAGCCCAGAAGCAAAACAGGGGGCCAAGGAGCACCTGGGCATCGAACTGCTTAAAGCATAAACTTTTTTCAAGTTGCATACGCCCCGTCAATATTGGTGCGGACCAACACCGTTTCCTTCACACCGGCCTCTCCTTCCGACTTAACCACATGCATATAGCGGCTAAGCACGGTATTAGATGAAGAGTCGAGCCGACCCAAGTCCTGTGTGTGCACCCTGGCTAGGAATGTATTACAAGGCCTTAGTGATCACTGCTAAATCGATATCTGGCATTCAGGAATGGAAAAAAAACTTCCTTACATGTTTAATTTAGGATGTTTCCGTCTATTGAAGAAATAAAATTTGGAAATTAGTGCAAAAAACTCCAAATATGAATTGACCAAAAATGTGCTACGTATATGAAACAAGAGGCACTAGAGGTTTAAAAGGATTTTCAAATCTCATCACCTGAAGGGATGGGGTTGATTGGTATTAATGGGATGTAATTATATAATCAAAATGTATAAGCTCCTTTTCACAGATCATTATTTTCAATTATATAAAGAAGAATGCTTGTATTTATATAAATGTTTCATTCCTATCGTAACGAAATTTTCTGCATTGATCTACAACTAAGAGAAAAGTTAGTCTTCATAAGCTTTCAAGGAAACTATTCTCATTCGTCTTTCCTGCCTCTTAAAACTAACACAATATTTTTATATCTTTCGATTTAATGAAATTTGAAACGGAATAAGCATTTCTTCAAACTAATATAACATCAAGAACATGCTGTTATGTCTTTAGAAACATCGTCAATTTAAGGTAATATGCCGTAAATTTTGAGAAAGTTAATCGAAATTTCATTACTAATTACAGATCACAGAAACTTATTGTACGATTGAGTTAGTCATCGTCGAGATCATTGACTACCGCTATTCAAAATATAAATGTTGCAATTGCGGTATATTGTAGTACACGTTTATGAATCGTTGGTTCCTGTGAAAATAGACTTGCTTAAAGGAGTTGGTAATATGTTTTAGTCGAATCTAGATAGCACATAAGTACAATTCTCGACATTCTTTGGATGAACATTCTTCATATTACAAAAATTGTAACTATTAATTTTAAAAAAGTACAATTAACATTCTTCAGATTTCAGTGTTTTGTAATAATACATCACCAGAAAGCTACAAATAATTTATGTGCACTAGTCTCATAATACTTTTCCCCAAAACCTTAGAAACTTCAATAGTATATATCATACATTTAAAAACTAAATAGGAAGAAAATTATTTTCAGCTGCATGATTTAATTGTGTCTTTTACGGGATATCTTGACTGTCACCACCTAAAAGACCAATCTTCTGTCGTGGTTGCATAAAGCATTATTAAATGCAACCACGATAAATAATGCAAATATATTATTTTTACGTTTTGTTGTTGTTATTTACGCCACTTCCATTGATGCCGGAACTTGTACTGAATGGTACTGGTCCTGGCCACTGGCACTGAATGAAATTGGCAATTGTGTTGCAGTTCAGCAGATTTCAGTATGGTGTGATGTTCTTCAAATATTTTGTCGCGTCTGGCGGTATTATATACGTCATTTATCCAAAGGTGCGAGATTAAAGATTTGAATATGTAAGATATTATACGAAATTTTTGTTATTTTTATTTGTTTTTCCGTTATGTTTACCGAAACTGAAAATTAATTCAAATTTTTAATTTAAAATAATAGTTGTACCACACTATAGTTGGTGTTTGGACAATATTTTCTGAACTTTTTATGGGTTTGTGATGAATTTCAGAGAGGTTATCATTAAAGAAAGATGAAATGAGTTAGTCGACATTCGAATATGGAAGTTCTTTGACAAATATTAACCTGCTACAGTAGCGTGTTGTTGTGTACATCATGGCGAAGAGCAAGCATGATGAAGTTTTATTGGGAATTCTTAAAGAAGAAACTCATCTTTATCCTTTCTTAGATGTTATTTTCGGATTTCTATATCGATGGTAAGCAATATTAGAATTTTGGCTGGAAGAATTGCTGTCGAACAAGCTAATTATTTTAAACGCTTCTTGGATGTGTGGTTATGTTCATCTGTCATTAATCACGATTTTACATTTGTATTGTTACGTAGCACTGATTTTTATCAAATTCAGCACCATCCTGAAGAAAAATTGGGCTTCCCCCCAGGAATAGCCCAAAACATTGTGACAAAGGTTTTTAAGAAATGGGAAGCTGTTGCTGAACAAGATAGAAAATTCTGTGAAAGACAAAGGTACGTTCATATAATAAAGTTTGTTTGCGCCAGTTTTCAGTACAGCCATTTAAGTGAATAATATTAAAGAAAAATTCAAGAAATATTTTTGTGTTGTGTCAAATTATATTTATCACAATCGAATTCAAAGAAACCTTGATTTGAAAATTGCAAAATTGGAGCCCATTATTTTCTGTCAGTTATTGGAAATATTGTTAACAAAGGGGATAGATCAATTATAATATACTTTCTTTTGAAATAGTATTCATCCTAAAAATGTTAAGTGTGGTTTAGTGGAATACGTATTTGTGATTAGGTTGTGTGGCACCTCTGATGGAGCTCCTCCAGCTATTCAAGAAGTTGAAATATCAGATGTCACTGATACTTCAAATCCAGCTATTGAGCCCATGGAAGTAATAACTGAAAAGCTATCTTTGGAAGAGATTCCTTCTGCCCCAAAAGAAAAGTAAGATAAATATTAAATAAAAACCAATAGATATGCCAATTATGTCAGATTGTTACTGGTTACTAAAAGAAATTCGTTTTTAGGGATGCACAAAAACAGTACCAAAGTTCAGATACCAGCTATAATGGTGCAATTCGAGATGGATACCAGTGGTCTCAGTCTATATCTGATTTGGATGTCCAGGTAGGTTTGCAAATATAAATTTGTTAATGAAACTTTCACATCTTAGTAGATACATTATTCTTTTTGTATAATACAAATTTTCTTAATTTAATTTATTCAATCAAATATTCATTTGATTTTTAATCACACACATTATTTTTAATGTTGACTGTAAATTTATCTTCTGTAACATGATGGAATAGTTTTTGTAGATTTTCAACAAACAATGTTTTCATAAACAAAGTTACACAATATATGGTGGCTGTTTCATAATTATTGCTGTCATTTAATGTCATTATTTTGCCTTGGAAGAGTTTGTCTGTGCAATTGTGTCACAGGTGTAAATGTGACTTGCAACTCTAGAAATACGTGTATTAAAAAAAACTTATTGTAGCAGACCAATTCTCAATTAATCTATTTGGCTAAAGACATTTTGAGATAAAAGAATAGGTTTCTCAGGTTCCAAATCTTGCATACAACTTTTCAGTGTTCAGCACTATTACCAATTGTTGACAGGCAGTGTGGATCCACTGTGAGAATTCGATTGATTTTTCCAAATCTAGAGAACCAAACCATAGACTTGACAACCTGACAGAAATGCGTCTGATTTTGCACGAGAGTAGGTCTTGTGGGTGTGATCTTCATGGCACTGGGTTGGCGAGATCAAGTGTTTGATCTGGTCATGGCAATATCAGAATTCTGGTCACTTAATGTCTTTAATGGATAGTAAAATTCACTTTTCTGGGTGCTTTTAACCGTACACTATCTAATAGAGTTTTTAAAGCATTTTGAAAAAGTACTTTTGTGTAAAATGGAGTTGAATAGTGCCTTTTTTCAAAAAGCACAAACTTTGTACTTGTGAAGTAATGGGTAGATCTGCAAGATTCAAATTACAGTCAGAGCAATGTTATGTTATTTAGTAAATTTAACTTTTCTTACTTCAACATTGGGGAAATAAGAAAAGACTAATACAATGTTAATCTTTTAATTTTTTTTAAAACATATATATTTTCACAACTTGGCAATTACAATTTGTCAAAAGCAAAATTTTTATTACTTTTATTGAATAGATTAGAAATAATTGTAAAATCTAGCATGTTTTATTTGTTTAGAAATAATGTGAAAGAAAATAATGTATCCCAAATTTTTCAAAATCTTGTAGTTGTTGTCTGCTAAGGGTCAGATAAATGGCCAAATCTAGAAAATTATTTTAGCTGTGAAACTAAAAATGTACAAAAGTTCCTTTGAGACTCATGGGTCTCAGCATACAAAATTTCATGAATAATCAGTGTTGGTTGTATTGGAAGCCCCACATCATTTGACTTGAAATTACCCTGTTAGAATGTTTCACCTACTATTGAAACACATTATAAAGTTTTTAGAGTGCAATTTGTACTAATATTATTAAATATATGATCCTCAAAGACTACTGTTATCACTAGCTTCTCAAAATGTACGTTATCAGTTGAGGATTATATGAGTGGGTTGCAAGTTCACAGGAAATAAGTAATTCTAGTGAATCCTTATAAAATTTCCCACTTTCGAACTCAATTGGTTGTGAGTTTACTCAAACTCAGTTTGGACATTTACAAGTGGAATAAGCTGACCACTGCCCTGATAACATTGTCCTCTTCTCATAAGTTGGACAGTGGCCGACCCAGGTATAAAAAAATCCTAGAATTTTTGGAAGTTAAAAAGTTTTTCTGAAAATACCACTTATGCCATACAATTCAATGAACTCTGCTTTGTTTTTTCAAAAAGAGCGAAGAAAAAAGGAGCAATTTGTTTAGAAAATCTTGTTTAATGTTTGTGAAAAATCACCAGAAATTGAGTGATTTTACATCCAACTTAATATCAACTAAACTTGTGAGAACATCCGCAACGGCATCAATTATCAACTCATATTTTACTTACCTTGTTTGAAATTGTGTCCATGAGTTCGTAGGTTGGACTTGAGTTTGTGTAAACTGTTGCTGTGCCCAGGGGCACAGCTAGGCTGTGGCAACTGGTGCGCAGAAACAGGGGCTCCTGAAGTCGAGGGCTCCAAATCAGGATGCCCGGTGATGCCCAATAAAGATAGCAATAACAATGAGGGGCCCATTTGGGACTTTCTGTACGAGCCCCCCCCCCCGAGAATATTGCTAGGTCTCTGGCAGTTCCATTCCTTTGATTATCTCGGACACATCTTCCTTTGACATCCCGACACAATTTAAATGAGTCTTATCTTTCACAATAATCACTGTGACATATTCCTATATTTGAGATGAAAACTTTAATGGTTCTTATGTACTTCATATGTAATATTGTATAAAGTGATGAATCATAAATAAGTTTTTATTGCATTTTTGACCCATAGGACACAGAAAACAAACCTGTTATAGCTATAAACGATGCTGAAGTTTTATTCCCAAAGCATAGGTAGGAATTTATTTAAACAGTATTGCATCCTCAGCTAGTTTAGCCAATAAAGCTAGTGATCAACAAAATATAATCTTTTACAGAGATTACTTAACAGAGTTGTGCTGTGTAACATTCATTCTCTGAATTAATGGCTTTGACATGTGTTCTTTCAATCGTTTTTGAAATGTAGTCAGATATACATTTCAGAGAGAACTTTAATAAGAAGGCGCAGATCCCTGAGGAGAGAAATAAGGGTTATTTCCCACCCTAACATTTTTTACTAACTATTAATTATGATCTGTCACGAAACTTTCAAGCAAAGGTATTTTCGAATAATTGTAAAAACGAAAAAATTGTATCGCAACATGAGCTGCATGTGGCCAGTGAGATTTAACAAAATCTGTAATATGTCACATTCTACCAAAACATTTCGAATTTCTCCACCCAAAATTCGTCTCTGGATCTGTCCCTGCAATAAGAGTATTCTACTTTAGGTTACAGTGCCACCTCATATTACCAAAGGAAGAGATGTGAAAGTGAATGTGTCCTCTTCTCACATCTCAGTGTCAGTGGCAAGCGAAAGTTCATCAAAAGAATGGCACACATTGTTAGAAAAGGAGTTAAGTTGGAAAACAAACAAAGATGAGTCTGTATGGAGCCTGGTATCTGGACAGTATATTCAGGTTTGTAATTGATTTCTAATACTTATTTGTTCTCACAAAAAAGATATTAGTCTTTATTGAGCATGATGTATACTTTAACATTCCTTTTGAAAATATTTGACATAAATTAGGATTTATTATATTTTTTTTTATGTGTTTATGTTCAGATAATCAATAAGTCTTATTTACTTTAATTACAAGAGTACTAAACTCAAATTCAAAGAAAAATATAATTCACCTTCTGTGATTCTTACAAGCATCATCAATTTAGAAAGTTATAACAAAGATTGCTTGCCTTCAAGAATGTCAAATACCCTGCTAAGAGAACTATCAAATAACTCCATTACTTACCAAGAAAGAGAAATAATTACCCTCAAAAATATTTTAGATTTTGAAAAACTTCATAAGTGTTAATTTAAAGCATTTATGTCCATAAATGAATGACTTTCAATTATAAAATACACTTCTAACATAAAATATTACTATGTAAATTGTTTGAAGAAATTACAAATGTTACATTTTTCCTTTCTCTCATACTACTTACAAGTTACATGGTGCTTCCAGCATGTATTTTCATGTTTCAGTAAAAGTTTAATTGGTGGTTTGCAAGTTCATAATAAACATTAATTTTAAATATATTACAGTTGCTTGGCTTGTTCATGTCTTGGCTTAGAAGTTGTATAAAATTAGATTGAATAATTATGAATCTGATAAATCATGTAATGATTAGTGAAAACTTCAAAAAGAGAGTATAGTAATTCAGTGTTTCACCAATGTACCTGTAATATTACTTGTGCTGGTATGTACTTGTATATTAAAATCATCAAAACCATGTTCTAGATTTTTCACAAATATCCTATAGAAAACTGGCTAAGAATTGTGCCAATCAATTTGTCTTGTCGAGAGGAATCAAATCACCTCAAAAGGCCTATAAATAGCATAAAACATGTTTCTGTTACGCAAAAAAATATAGTTTTTTAGAGAAATTTTTTGAATGGATTCACAAGAAAATGATGGATTTCCCATCAGTAGACATGTTGAATGACACCTAATTTCTCTTGATTGGGGTACCAGAAGTAATGAACTGTGAGTGACGAATAGATGGATGCATGTTTTCATGATTACTTTATAAGGATGTTGTATAGAGAAAGCATTGTAATGTTGTGGCAAAAAGTTGTTTTGTGACAGAAAAAATGTTACTGTGGATTTGTGATCACGTGAAAGTGAATTATTCTTGTTTCTAAATGTTGTTAATTACCTCCATTAATGCCGTGTCATAAACCATGTTTTGTGAGTTTTTGATACCAAAAATTTGATTGGCAGCAAAATGTGTAACTTGTAAAAAGAACACCAACATCTAGATTGTTATCAAGATTTTTACCAAAAGTGATATTTCCCAATGGATCTGGCTGATTTGGCCTTCAATTTGAAATGGATATTGTGATTTTGGGAGATACATACGGCCTAAACATTTTCAAAATTTTTTCATACCGCATGAAATTTGTTTCTGTATTTTTTCTCAAATAGAGCAAAGTAAACATATAAAAATGTGCAGGTCCAAATGTAACTGAAATGTCTGAATTTTTGAAAATTGAAAAAGGATCTGTTTTCTTTTTTTCTTCTTGTTATTATTATTATAATTATTACTCTCTCTGAATTTTTAAAATTCAGATGTTGAACTTTTTTGAGGCCTTGGGAAAGTTTATAAGACTACTAAGGCATTCAATGTAGCAGGAAAGTGCAGTGCTTAATGTAGCAGGAGTGGAAACCTAAGTATCTGAGTTCGAATTCCATTGTGTGCTAAAAGTTTTCACAGATTTAAGTAGTGTTATAATGTTATGTAAACATAATCATTACAAATAATGTGAGAAAGTACATAATACAAGAAATAATGTGGCGGCGATGGTGTAACTGTTAGCGTACTGGACTGTTGTACCCAAGTTGGCGGGTTCAAACCCGATCGAAGCCGTGGATTTTTAAGGGCGAAAAAATCCTTCGGAGGGGAAGTAAAGCCGGCTGTCCCGTGTTCGTAGATTTACTTGCATGTAAAAGATCCTCAAGCCTAAATGACGCCTCTGAGCTAAATTCAAATCGCCTGTTTCTCGCCCAAGAAATACCTCCTTTCTCTCCTTGTTGGTGAAAGGAGCGTAGCGAAATTTGCGTGGTCAGACGGAAGAGCGGGCCTGATGGCCCGAGTCTCGCCATGTAAAATAAGGCAAATTCAATTCAATTCAATTCAATTCAAAAAGTACATGCTGTTGTAGCACCACAAGTTTAACAATAAAACTCATTGAATGAAAATGTCACTTCTTCCATAGAATTATGTGCTTTGTGTAAATTGTGCAAATCGAGTGTTTCAAGAACAGTGGTAAAGAAAATATTTGTAACCACCGAGAAAATCATTTTCATGCATTTCTGTAAAATTATAAGAAAGTCAATATTCTGAAAAACTGACTAAGAAATGATGTAAGGTTCTAATAATCAGTAATAGATTAACTGAGAAACAAATTTCTAGCTTCAATACAGTAGGTGTTACAAAGTTCCAATGAAAATTTCAACTTTGGCAATTTTCAAAATTTGACCTATCATATTTACAAGTACACATAGCACTATTTGAGAAGAAGAAAAATAGTGGTCAAAATTCACACATTTTTAAGAAAGATTTCAAGGTACCAGAGGAATATAATGTAAAGCACTTTGGAAATTTAAAAGATACATTTCAAAATCACAGGACCTTGAGCATGGCCAGATCAATTGGAGAATATCTACCATGGCCAATATCTACCAAAATTCTGTGAATGATGCTTGTATACTTGACGGATGGACCAACACACTGTTATTTTTCTTAAAAACACTTTTTTTTTATCAGGGACCCAATTTTATTTTCATCAACATGCCATCAGTTTATTACAGTATAACAAACATAATTCCCTAATTAATGTTTATGAGAAGGTTAAAAACAATGAAAATTGCACATTTGTAATGCAGTTTGAGGACACAGATTTTGATAATATTTTTAAAGTTTTTGAACATGAATGAGTATATTCCACCAATTAAAAATGTACAGATTATTTTCAAGCACTAATTTCTGCATAATTTTTTAACAGATTCATTTGGAAAAACAACAAGAAAGATGGTGGGATGCTCTTTTCATTTCAGAACCCAAAATAGACTTGCAGAAAATTGATGCATCTCGCCCAATGGAGGATCTCTCCCAAGAAGAACAAATGAAAATACAGGAATTAATGTGGAATCAGGAAAGAAAAAGAAAAGGATTACCTACCTCAGATAATATGGTAAAGTAAAAAACTGATAATGGTTGTGTTGTGATGTGTATTGCAGCCTATATTGCAGAACACGGAGAAATTGTATCTCAATTATTAATATAAATTTTGTTAACATGTTCCAGGCTCTGGAAAAAATGCTTAGAGAAGCATGGGACAAAGAAGGGTCCCCTTTCAAAGGTCGACCTTATAATCCCAATGAGATCAACTTTGGAAATAACACTATTGGAATTCCAGAGTGTGAAGGAAATACTTGAGAAGATATTTGTCTGTAATTAGTTATCCAAATTATTGTTGCTTGTGAAACTTATAAGTTAAAACACAGTTTCAGTCAAAGTGTTTACTTTTGAAGTTTTATAATAAGAGACATATTCCTGAGAGTGATATATGATTGTTTAATTGGTACCTAATGATATACAAGAAAAAAAATTGAAAAATCATAGAAAGTTTTATAAAATTTGCATTTTAGAAAGATTTCTCTGAAGTCAAAATCATTGAAAGGAATTGTTGTCCTCAGGAGTGATGTTATTCTTGCTCAACTTAGAAAGTATATCTATTTTGCCCATATTTGTTTGGTAATATGTTAACATATATAGTAAGGAATGTTTTTTATGTACCTGTGATTTGAAAATCTCAATCGTAAATGTAGATTATGGTATCATTGCGAAATGATACTGTAAAGAAGTTTTGGTTATTGTATGTTATATCATTGCATTTTTGTTATTATTTTGGAGTAATATTTATTCTTTGTCACCAGATTTTCCTCCTGCTCTAACAATAAGATTGTTTTATAAATGTGCATTAATGGTATATTTACTTTTCCATGATATCCTTTTTCTTTTACATACTTGTTACTAGAGCCCAGAAGTTCAGGCATTTATTAATTTTGCTGAAATAGGTGTGAAAAAAGACATTTATTAGGGCTGAAATGGGAGTGCAAAAATGCACATAAACAATGAAAAGTCACAGTTTAAAAGGAATTAATGTAAAAAATTAATAATTATTATTATTCAGTTTATATTCTAATTATAACATTTATATCGGCACTTATATTAAAGGACACCATCTTTCCTTCGTAATCTTGATTCCTCACGACCACCAGATATTTTAGCACATGCTGGATACTTGGTTGACGGGGTGGGCCATGTCTCAGTCGATCAAGCTGACTGACTGACATTTTGCTCATGCTGACTAATAGAAAGATTATTTTTCAGTTTCTCTAATGAGAATTATTGCTATTGTCACACTAAATTTCAGTATGATGACTACGATTTTGTTTTACTCCTCACTCTATCTCAACAAAATTTGTGGATATTGTGGATTATCTTTTGAATCCTGGAATGGCGTTTGTGAAAACATGATTATTGTCTTGGTTCTTCGCACTTGTGTGACATTAGCTCTTAAAAGGGCAGCATTGTGAATCATGGACAGAGAGCTCTGTTCTCAAAAGGATTCAAAGACTACACTCTTAAAGTTACAACGGGATACCTCTGAGCAAAAAAGCCTGTCGGAATCTATGAACGAAATCCAAAAATCTTGCCTCGTATCATTTTTCTCATGTAGATTTTTAACACTTCCTGATTGTAGGGCCTGCATTTCAAGAGAAAAGCAAAATATAATAGTACCTTTGTGTTGTCTAGGCTTGGAGGTATGTTTCCAGCTTGATCAAGACCAGTGTGAAGAGAGTAAGGATTGGCCTCAAAAGTTAAAAAAAGGCAAAATAAAAATTTTCTAAAAGAAATCCAGAAGTATAGTTTGGTGATTCCTATTGGTAATTCATAACAAAACTAATGCTGTAGACTGATGAAGACTTTCTTATACTAGTTACTTTGATTATCTCTAGTCAAGGATAGCTTTTCGGTGTTGCGTGTGTTGCAAGCACTTTCCCCACCACTACTACAGAATTTCTCCAAATAATCTCTCCAATGAAACAAAATTCCCCAACTTGGAAATAAAAAATATTCTCCAAAATAATGACAAAAGACGTGGACTGTACCTGGCAGTACCATCAGCTGCCCCCTTAAGTTCAAATCAAGCAATCATTGTCCTCCGAGCTGCTCAAAACCATAGAGGTGGGATATTTGTGCTCTATGCTCGAAACCCAATACTATCTTTGTTTTTCTCTCTCTATACCTGTCATTTATTTTTCTCTTTTTGATAAATAAAACTGAGAGAGATTAATGTCTGTTGTTTCTTCTTTATTCATAATAATTGAGAGAATATTTTTATCTTGACTTAGGACGAAAATAATTTCCCCCAAAAATCTGCAAACATTTCCCCGTCCATTTAAGTTGCCTCTTTTTTTTCCTTCACCACGAAAAAATTTCCCCATATTGGGGTCTTGCCCCACCCTCTTCCCAGGTGCCATCTGTTGCTACCTAGAAGACATTTTCTCAATTTTTTCGGTCCCACAATAGTGGAATTGAAATGTGTCTTCAAAAATATTAAAGAAGAGCGAAATCTGGCCATAGATGCATATTTTGGAAATTTGGAGCCTCTTTAGAGAAATGATATGAAAATAATTACATTTGTGTAATTGTTTTAAAAATTTTAAAAAGTTACATCAAAACAGTTTTGTCATGTTTTTCCATGTGTTTAGTACCATCTGTTTATACTGTTTAACAAAAAATTAAGAGCCATTTTGAAAAAATGTTGTTTGAGCGATTTTGAAAATGTGCAGTTTTGAGCTAATTTCCACTTCTGAGAAACTTTTGAACACTTGTACTTGCAGATGCAATAATGTATAAAAATTGCAAATTGCCTGTGATGTAAATATTAACAATGCAAGATATATTTTGAAAGAATCACATTTGTGTAAAATCAAAAGAATACATCCAAATGACATTTATCTCATGTTATTCAGTGCATGGAGCACTAATCATACAAACAATTTAAAGGAAAAATTATTAAAAAAGGGGCAATTTTTTAAAAAATCTTACAGCACAGGACATTAATTAAAGAAATAATTGTAAGTAACAACTTTTATTGGAAGTGGTTCAAAATATTTCAAAATAAAAATTAGAATTTCAGAGGTGAAGATCAAACCTATGCTATCTTTATAAGTTACTTTACAAACACTACACTACCACACGTCGAAAGACCACTAAGGAACCTAGAGCTTTATCGTGCTGGGGAAGTGGGAGATATCCCGTTGGGAAAAACTGCTAGCGTATATAGTCGCCAGATCTCACTATTGAGCCAGAAATGTTCACCACTTCCTCCCGAAAAAAACATGTAATATAGGTACTACAGAATTGAGAAAACTACACTTCTGGGACTAATGACCTCAGCAATTGATGGTCCCAGAAACACAAAATTAAATATAAATAAAATTATAAGTTTGTTGCACCCTATTCTTACAAGAAATTTAAAGACAAAATTTGAAATCCCCCCCCCCCCGCCAAAAAAAATTTCAGTAACTTTTAATTTTAACTTCTCACGAAACTTTCAAATAACCAGTTAGGCCAAAACAGCATGTACTTTCTCGCCCGTATTTTCACGCAAAATTACACCAAAAGTTTCCGAAAAGGAAGAGGCGGAAAAAATGTTGATTTTTTAAAAAAAAAATCATCATCAGGAATTTCAACCAATATGAGAACTATAACATTACCTTAAACATCATTCAGACTACCCACCAACAAAATTTCTTCAAAAACATTAGAACCGTTTTTGAGAAAAAATGTTTAAATAAAAATTTCCTTTGCCAGTAAAGTACTGAAATTTTCGAAACATTGTAAATGACCTTATTTCAAAATTTATCTTTAAGGAACAGATTCCATTAAGGGAAAAAATCTTTATTTTTAACATTTTAGTTGTCTAGTAGACTCCGAAAAAAATTTTAACTTCTACAATGTTCAAAGATTCTGTTTTAATGATCACGAGACCTGCACCATTCTCTTAAACGTCCTTCACAGTATCTAAAAATAATGGAGCCTTTTTTTTATTTTTGAAAAATTGCCCACATGCTTCATGTAAAGTACCGCCAAAAATGAAAATATATGAATATATTGTGAAAATACATTTTTCCGAATCAAGAGCCTACAAAACATGAATTCTGGCTACACCAGGTGTTAAAGGATGTTTTCCCCTAAATATAGCATTAGATTTATTCGCTTATCCGTGGCCGGAGGCCGTGTAATAAAGTTTTACTGCTGAAACTTGGCGCAGGATTACGTAACCTTTCTACTTCGTAAAAATATTTTCGGATTATCATTAAAACGAATAAAATCGCATAGCAGTATGAGCTGAGTTTAGCCTACAAAATCTGCAATATAATACACTCGATCATAGCATTTTGAATAAAAAGTATCTTAATTTACCCATTACACTTGACTATCAGAAACATTTATATAGAATTTCCAGGATATAATAATTAAGGGGCAGATTTTGAAGATTTAAAACATCGCCAAAAATGATCAATATAATGCTCTTAAAATGTTTTTAATATGTCCTAAAAATAAAGGTCGGGTATATTTTTATCAAAACAAATTCAGATGCGTAACTCAAGCTGTTGGATATGTTACTGATGTAATCGCAGTGGCAGGAATCCCATGGGCCTAGAGAAAAAATATTAAATGGTAAAGTGCATGAAGTATAGAAATAGGTGACACAAGAAAAAAACATGTTGAAACGCCTAAAATTTATCGAAAAAATAACCGCGCGTTGTCTTCTTAACCTCTTAACGAATTACGAATTAGAATCCTGATTCTTGCTGTATTTTGGCCCAATGGTGCATATGATAAATGTTCTCCAGAGGCATGTGACAGCTCAAATCTCTTTCTTACTCCGCTTGGCCATAGGCTTGACTAGCAGTGCTATGGGGACTTCCGACGCAATCGGAAACAGTGTTGTCGCAGTCAAGTCTTTCTCTAGGTGCCAAGCGAGTGATCGTGGGCCGCTGTGAACGCTTTGTTTAGGAGTTGTTTACATTTGACATGCATATTTAGTTTTTCCTATATATATATATTTAAATAAATAATAATTATTATAATAATTAATTATTTTAAAATTTAAATATATATATATATATATATATATATATGTGTGTGTGTGTGTGTGTGTGTGCGTGTGCGCGCGCGTGCATGCGTGCGTGTGTGTGTGTTGCAATTATGTTTGTCCGCGTATCTTTCGTTGATTAAAAATTAATTTGTTATTAGAATGCAATAACAATATTTTTGAGAACTATAAGTATAATTTTCCTTTTTTAAACACTAATTTGGTCATAGTTTTTTTTTATACAATCGATGAAGGCAAAGCGGACATATTTATCACGTAACAAATTTGTTATCATGAATACAATAATACTATTAATGATAACTCTTAAAATTTGTATTAACAGAATAATGCGTAAAATCTAACAACATTAATGTCAAAGAGACAAATTACACGATATCAATCGTCACGTTTCTCAAATAGTGTAACAGACAATATCTTTAGTAACCCAAGTACACTTATTGTGACGTGATCAACTTTCCTGCAGTGAAATGTTGTTACGCGAATGGCGAGTACAGCCGCATTACTGATAATAAATATTCTATGTATTCCTTTCTACTTCTCAACGTTTATTTAATTTCAAAGGTTTTGTACTCGTATTAATTATAGTAAATTCCAAAACTTTTTGTGGGATCAAATATATTTTAATATTTCATGTGGCAGATGGTACCGAAACAACTAGATAATAGTATGAGGCGTTACGAAGACAATCTAACTCTATTTCTTTTCAATTGTGCATAATAACATGGTTGTGTTCCACAAGTAAACATTTTTCAGTGGTCAAGACTACGAACTCCATATTTAAATGGGTTTCCGCTAGAATGCGCCAAGTGCTCTGGCAAATTAACATCATATCAGTTGTTTCGGTGGGATTAACTCATAGAGGAGAGATATATCCCGCAATATCTCTACTCTATAGATTAACTCCTTATCTCCATGACAGCCGAGGTTTAACAGAATTGTTTCGTGTTTTCCAACTTTACAATGTTTATGTATGTGCTATTTTGTTATTTTTACTTTCTTATTTCCATCAAGAATAAACAATAATATGAAACATATATGTACGAGCTCATGCGGCGGTCAAAACCGCAACATCAAAGTTGTTCTCTCTCTTATGAACTATCTGCAAAATCAGAGTGGTAACATTGAAACTATTGACTTAAATTTCCTTGTCCTAGGACGCAGATACCTTCTGAATGATTCAGATTTTTCATTTAAT